AAAATACGAATGTTTGTGCTTTTATTTTCTTTTTATTATTGCAAGTCTGTAGAAAAAGAAAAACAAATTCTCTATCAAGCGTCTAAAGAATTGGATAGAAATAATATATTTGCTAATAACATTGGCTTCTTTCACAACGGTGATTTCTACCATAAGAAAAAGAAACAACACTTCTCCTTTTCTTTTCTGTGTGCATGTTGCCATGTATTCGGTTACGATCGAACCACAGTTACATTGTGACCAATAAATGCAAAAAACTCCGACGCAGTTGTTTAAAAAAGAGTCGACATGGATGGTGACACATACTGATAAAATCATTTGTTTTTCTCTTGGTGAACCATATGCACTTGGTACAATTTGACAAACATTTGCAACATAGTAACACTGTAACTGATTCATTTTTCAAAGTTTAAAGAAGTAAAATGAAATAGTCCACCAACGAAAAAATTAAATGCATTTTTATTTTTCTCATGAGAAAAAAATCTTCGCTACGAAAATGGCAAATGTTATGATAGAAACAACTGTTTTGAAATAAAACTGTCGCTGTTTGCTAAAGATTGTTTTCTCTACAAATACATATATACTCTTATAATATAGATCGTTGTACGTGAGTGTGGCTATCGGCCATCCTTAATAGTCATAGCCGCCGTTCGCTAAATGATTATTATTATCTATACTGACTTAATATATATTTTGTTCGTGTTAAGCTTTTAAAAGTCGATGCGTTGATCATGAATCAATTCTTAGATTGTTTCATCTGTTTTTTCTAATATTAAGAACATCAATAACAGTAGTTAAACAGAATCATACTATAAAACTATCTTGGGGTGTGGGTGTGATTTTTTCCTTCATCCAAATATAGATCCACAACCGCACCCATACCCCACACCCTCGAAGAGCAGGTTTTTTGCATATAGATTATGATACAAAGAATTTCACAATGTTTATTGACATAATCAGAACAGTGTTATCTTCTATTCACTTGCACTTTACTCTCTTTTTCTATTTAGGGCTTGTTTTAAAATGACTGGCATCAGATATCTTGAACACTCGCTTCCACCTGATCATCAGTGGTCATTTTTTTGCAGACCCCTACCTTCTGACATGAACTCACCAATTTTTGTATCAAGGTAATATGAACTTTTGGAAGCCACAATTTTAGCAACTGATAAATGATTTATTCACTAATCATTTTGCTGAATTACTCATTAAAACGTAGGTGATAATACCAGTAAATAAAATCTGTTCCTAAACATTTGTTCATTCGATGTGGCGAAAAATATGGTTCTAATACTTTGAAAAATTTATAGCCACAGAATTTTTTTTAAATTTCCAGAGACTATAAGAACAGGTTCTCGGATAGATCATTATTAGCAGACTTGTTCAAATTGTTTTTTATCCGGTCTACAATATGATGATTAAAATATTCATCTCTGGATGAAATCAATGAGTTTGGCGTGAAAACCTCCTCTGTCTAGACACAATAAAATTGTAATTTACAAACAAAAAGAGAAGTTTTTTGTTTTTACAAATTTCTTCATAGCTCTTAAAACGTGCTTGGAAAGGAGTCTTAGAGATAACTCATGTTATAAAAAACCGGATCAGTTTTAGCGGTAACCGAGGTTTACCGTGGTTCGCCATTAAAAACATACCAGTTCATCGGTACAGAGCCGATAAAGTGAGAAAAACCGCCCGTTTATCGCGGTAAATCGGGAAAAAGTAGCGGTGTACCGCGAACGCTGAACATTCAAACGTAAACAGAAAAGCGGAGATGTCTAGAAGCCTTACCATGTTGAAGTAACGCGGGGAAATGCGATTTTGATAAGCGTTCCCGTTCCTAGGAATGAGGATTGCTACTCCGTTCCCAGGAACATGGAACGCAACATATATTTCTTTCACTTTGTAAAGAAACTTTTCGAATTCAACGAAGTAAAGGATATTTCATTTAAATCATGGATTTTATGGAATCGTCATTCCTCCCGTGAATTAGTATAGCTTCCACTAAAAGTGATAGGAATGTATGTTGTGTTCCCGTTCCTAGGAACGGTGAACGCGAAACTACTAAACATAAAAAGACAATTGAGCAAATCTACAAACCTTGTGCTGTTGAGATAAAACTGAAAGGCGATTTTGTGATGCGTTCCTGTTGCTAGGAACCGAACGCAAAACTGACATCCCTAGACACTACTATAGCTCAGAACCCTACTCTCCTACTCGTCATCAATCGTCGTCATTTGTGATTCCATCCTTCCCACTAAACTGATGTCATCATTTTTCAACGAGTCCTTACTCTCGTTTTCTTTATTCTGTTAACTATGAGTCACAGTCTTAAGATAAAAAAACACTACTACTTATATATGTAGCTCCTGCTTTTTGTCGTCGGTGTTAGTGACTAGCAGATTGAACTTGTTCTCATTCTTCAACTCAGCTGATATCACACAGTATGGGGATCTACCAACTATAGAGCTCGATGGAGGGTGAAAGCTTCCATTCTCATTACTTACCAGCACACTGACAGTTCGGTGTGGGTGCGGATGTTGTTCAAGAGCAGACTCTCACTTCACACCCACCCTTTCGTAAACATATTTTAGCTCATAAATACTTATTGAAGGCATTTTGAACAAAGAGAAACTTGAAAAATAATGCTAAATTTATATTCTATAATCTTTTGTTATTTTTCGTAAAATTTTTCGATATGCGTAGTTTACATATTTTACTTATTTGCGGATATTTTCTGTAAGCAGAGTTTTGGGCTTCGTGAAACAATCCGACACTAGGTGTCTTTTACTACCTCTTTTTTAGATTAACTAAAACTTGAAGGCCATGTAATTGTGAACTCAGAAGATTGATCATAGTTGAATCAAATGAATGCTTTCACTCACAGACTTATTAGTTTAAAACATGAGCTGCCATTAGCGTACACATATCAGAAAGTTCTCATTTCATCGTATTTATAGTTTGTCATGTGCTCACACAATGAAATTTTATCTACTCTCAGTTTTCTTTTTCCGCCGTGGTTGCATGGAACACGACTGCTTACATAAGGAGAAACAAAAACACACACATTCAAAAGCAATTTAACAGCAATTAGAATATTTTGTTTATTATTCTTATAAAAAAAAGGTTTCGTAGACTTCACACAATTTGCTTTTTAATATGCGTGATATTGTTTTTTTTTTCATGTATATGGTCGTGCTGCATTCAACCATGAGTGTTGATGAAATTCCATAGCGTGGGCACATAAAAAACTGAAAATTTCTTAAAACTCGAATGCCTCCGTTTGAGTACACTATTAGCAGCTCATAGTTTTAATTAGCTGGTTTGATAGTGAGAAAATTTATTTGATCCGACTATGATCAATCTTCTTAGCTTACGGTACACGATCTTTTATTCTACGCCTATAGTGTTTGTGTTATTTTTCTTTACTGTGAAATAATTTTGGAAATAGAGTATGAGTTCATAAACAAAAAAAGTGAAGCAATTTGTGTATGTCAACATGATAGCATTTAGTTTTCAAGAAGTTAGTCTTTCTTATTGGTTACCGATTTCGCAGAAAAATTCTAATGTTTTTCTGATTTTTAAGTTATTCATCTTGCAAACCTAGTTAAAATATCAGAGGCGATGTTTTTCCTCTTCTTTTCTCAATCGCTCACAGAAAGAAAAAGCAAAAAGTACATATGTGATTTCGACGGACGTAAAAAAAATGAGTTACTATCTAATTCAAAAATAAATAAATCGGTGTGAAAAAATAAAATCTTAATGGACAAATCTCCAAATGAAACGGGCAATTACCCATTTGCTTTTCCTTGACTACGCCGCTGGGTGTAGGTATTTTCTAGTTTATCAGCACTCACCCCCATCCTCACACTCATCTAAAGTATTTCAATTTAATTTTGAAACAATGATCGACAACACAAAACTCTGTACCTACAGTCTTATTGATATAAAGATTTTACTATTATTACTAAAGTTCGAGTAAAATTATGCTGAGAGTTCAATCCTTATTCCATGATTAACTAAATATGATGTATCACATATAAAAATAAAGAGAAAGGAAGCCAGTTATATAAGATGTATAGGAATCGTCATTGACGATTCGTCAATGAATTAAGAATAATCGAAATAACAAATAAGTGTAAGATAAAGAGAGAAAAGTAAGCCCTGAAGAATATTAAACAGCAAATATTGATTAATCGATCTTCGAAAGAAAATTCTATATCGAGATGGATATTGCATCTGTCTTAATCGTGTCTAGCGTGCACATTATATAAGTGATACATATGGATTATTTTACAGACTTATTTCTGGTTGTGATATTATTTTAATAAATTACTTACCACAATGATATTAATACAATCAAATATATTTAAAAAATGAATTGAGCATCTGTTAATAAAACTTGCTGTTATGCATGCAGTCTTACTTGCTTGTTTTATCGAATACTTCCTATTTTTACCTTTTTACTAAGGAATTTATTCGTTTCATACTGTTTGTTATTTTCCTCGACTTTTTCCATTTTTTAATTTTTCTTCGCTTGCATACTCTGTCGCTAATGCATTTAGGTAAAATGTGCACAATATAATATGCTTGGGTGATTCAAACGGAATCATTTTTGCACATGAAATAAAAACAAAATGTAGTTATATACGAGAAGGTGTCGGAAAGCAAAAGTAAATAGAATTAAATTATCATCAATAAATTTTTAAAATAAATATAAATAATTTTTTGTCAAAATTTATACTTGAAAATAAATGTAAGCACCGATAATTTGTATTTCAAATAAATATAACTGCACATAGTTTATATGTATTTATCTTTAAATAGCTATTTTCAGGGTATGGGTGTGAGTGTGGGTAGGTGTGATTATAGGTTCAGCTATTCTTCTACTCATACCAAGGCCCACACAGACATGCTTTAAACTTTTCCCTAACTCATGAAAACCGTTTTATTTGATTCATCTTTTTGTCTTATAATTTAAGAAAAACCTATCGTACTATTGATTAATGATTTGGTTTTTTATTACCACTCCAACTGGTGCATAATAAAATTCTAAATCTCACTTTGGATGGTTTTTCGCCTTTGTATTCTTCCTTATTTAAAATAAATGATTTCTCTGGTAATGTTTTAATAAAGAGGCTTGTTTCATAATTATTAAAAATGTTTGAATTGATTTTATCCATCTGTAATTGATGGCAGACAATTTTTACATTCGTTGGTTGTGACAGGATTCACAGTTCCTGATTCTCCAGAAAATACATGATAATAAATATTAAGTATGAACTTGAATTTTTCACACCAGCCGTTGAAAGTCTTGAAAACAACATTACCATAAAAGTCCGCAGCAATTTGTCTTGCTCTTTCTTCAAGGATTATGCCTGATATAGGTAAATCTTTCGCTCTTTGAGCAACAACCCATGAATAAGTTTCTTGATCATGTTTTTCCAATATTACTCTTAATTTTTCTTCTTACTTCATGACATTGATTTAATTCAAAATCATCCAAATATTCTTGTTTACGTTTAAAAATGTTACGTACATCGTCAGTTGATATTTTATATTCGGTTGCTAAATTTCGTTGAGATAAATGACGATCAGAATCTTTCATTAATGCCACTTTTTTTAAATAGAGGTAGATCGACACGTGGTGATATTATTTGATGTTAACGATTACTATTACAAAAATGAAAAAACATCACATCAAACAACGTTATCTATACTAAGTAATTATTTTATTTTAATGACGTTCGATTTGTCTATGTCAGTCAAATATGTATTCTTTCATTATTTTTAATAAAGCAGACAACATAAAATCGTTCTTCTGCTCATTTTACATATCAGTTATAGAACATATTGCTCATATTATAGAGGTTGCTATTGCTCATGAAACCAATAAAATACGTTCACTAACAGAATGTGGAAGTGCTTACGATCTAGAGACTCATTTCCAGCAAAATTCGCTCTTGTGGTCCACAGAGCGCCCAGCATATGGATTTGCTCATTACTGGGAAGTGCTCACATACAAAGGCTATACTGTAGTAAAAATAGATGTGTCAATCATAATAAAATAATTAATAATCAATGCAAAACTTATCAATATTAGACACATCATTCTTTTGATGTAAATTTAATGACTATTCCATTTAAGTAGTTTTCGTTCCCATGTGGCTCATTGTCACTTTAACCCACCATAGAATAATTATGCTTGCGCCTAATAAGAAGGTAAACAGTTTTTATTAGTAAATATATCTATCCTGATTGAAACGTAACATGTTTTTATTTTATAACATTTATCAGAAAATTATTTCTCTCTCGAATTGTTTATTACTTCTTTATACAGACAGGTTTCTAATAGATTATACATTTATTTAAATGAATCATCATTTGATATTCAACACTTATCCATTTTCATCCTTTTCTTCTGTTTTCTTTCAAAAGTTAAATTACAATAATTTATTCTAGCTTCCATATATATGACATCATCTATAACTAATAAAAATTCAGTTCTCACGGCTTTAGCCTACAACCATTGCTAGCAATGTTTTCTTTGCATATTGAAGATGTATATATACTTTTGAACTATTGAAGAATTGATCACCGAAATATTAATACCAGATTGCAATGAAGTAAAATTGTATGCGAACTCACCATTAAAATGTTATGTCAGGAGACAAAAATGGTTTTGTAGAACGCTTATTAAATTTTGATGAGAACAGAATTAATAAAGGTCACTTAGAAAGGCTCGAATCCATTTTAGCTCAATATGAATGTGAAGCGGATGCATTAGCTCGTTTATCGTTCTTCTTTTCTAAACTATTAGGTTTATAATTGAGAGCGATCTTCCGCTATGCAATACAACGACAAAAAGCTAATTAAGTCGCTTATTTGAATCTTTATTAGTTATCTTTAGCGTACAATCTACACTGACTTAACTTCTCTAAATAAAATAAATAAAAAAAATACTCAAGATATATTATTAAAGTCATCAGAATTGCTACAGGTGACGAGTATCATAGATGTCTCTGTAATGCTGTACATAGAAAAAAATATACACCAACTATTTGGAAAACAGAGCCGAATAAGTCTATGATACTTATCAATTATCGCTGATGAAATGCTTTTCCATCATTTCATATTACTAATCTTTTATGTATGCCTTACCCAATAATTTGTCACCATTACATATAGTTACAAAATCGTTGTGCAATCACTTTCATTACATTTAAAAACCACAAACGTACAGCACATACTCATTTCATAAACTTTATTAAAGAAAAAGAATATATTCGACACTCAACTCCTGTGAATTTAATCAGTTGAGCCACTGGTATTAAATTTATATTTTATATAATAAAAGTATGTCAAAGATTATTCTATATTTGTATCTAGCTTTTATAAAAATTTTCATTGTAGTGGTTCGTGGACGTGGTCGTGGATATGGAAGAAGTTCCAGTAGCAGGGGTGGTCGTGGCTGTGCACGTGGCCGTGGTCAATCGTTTGGTAGTCAACGGTTACAAAACGAATGGTCAGATTTCATGAATGTCAATGATCAAAAAACAGTATCAGCCAATTTCTTAGCCGATTTTGATATCAATGCTGATCCAAAACCTTTTTTCATTGATCCAAATGTTACTCTAGATCAACATATTCAAGCACAAATGACAAATTTGCCTCGTTATGTAGCTGCATTATTTACACTTGATGAAAACAGTGTTGAAATTTGTCAGAAAGCTAAAGCATGTGCATTAGCTGCTGCTTGGTGCCGACATGATCACACTTTAGCTAACAATCTTTTACGTCATCGACGATTATTCACTCTAACTGAAGTACTGAAAGCAGTAACGATGTTAGATGCCGGTCGACAACTTCGTGCTTATGAAAAAAAAATAAAACGTCTTGAATTAAGTAAAACAAAGCCAAAGGCAATAACATTAGGCAAAATGAAAAATACCGTCGATAACTTAAATAGACTCAAAGCATCAACTGGATCAGTTAGTGGTGCTGTAGCTCGGCATATTCAGCGGTGGGCTCGAACATTAAGTCGACAAGAACTTGAATATTTTGCACTGCATATGCCAACAGAACCATGGAAAAAATTAGCTGATATTGTTCATTTTAATCCAAGCAAAGATTTTCCCGCTTTACCATGGTTTTTACCATTTTGCTTCGGCACACCAGCACCAGAAGAAACAATGGTAGCACGTTGTCGAACTTTAACAAACGAAAATATAAATGATCTAATTAAAGAATTTAAAATTCCCTATTCACATTTAAAACAATTTAAAGATCATTTAAATGATCAATCAAAAGCAAGAATTGCAGCGTATGAAGAGAAACTAGATACAATATTATGGTATTACGAAGATTTACAATGTCCTGATGTTGATGATATTATCAGTGAAAGGCTAGAAAATGGTGAAGAAATACGTTTACCATATGGTAAACTTATGGAACGTCTGTTAGTTCTTCGAAAATTACGAGATACTTCAAGTGAAACAGCAGTCGTTGGCAATATTTCAGATCAAAATTTGATACAATCGAGCAAAAATAAATGTTATTCGTACTTATTATCAGTTGCTGAAAGTCAACTTGCAAAAATAAAATTACCATTAGCATCACCCGTAGCTGTCATGGGTGATGCATCATATTCAATGGATGTTGCTATTCGTACAGCGACAATCTTAGCGTCTTTGTTAACAGCAGTTTGTTCAGCTAAATTGAACTTTTTCCATACTGAAATGTTTTTACCAGCATTTACACCGAAAACTATTGAAGATGTTCTTACATTAGCATTGACAACAAAAGCGCATGGTTTAACAGCGAATGCTGCTGGCTTAGTATCATATTATGATAGTAAAGAAATTATTAAAACATTAATTATGGTAACAGATGAAATAGAAAATACAGATGTTCATACGGCTAATGGCACATCAACGCGATTCTTTAATTTGTTTATGAAATATCGTTCAGAAGTTTATCCAGCTAAATTAGTATTTATTTCCTTTCTTGATAATCAACATGATCAAGGTCGAATGTATACAGAATTTCTCAATGCGAATGTACCAGATGTAATTCAAGTAAGTTACATGAATAACTGAATATACTTATTTATTTATTACTTATTGTTTTGTGCTTAGTTCAAGTTTAATGGACAACGTCCAGATTTGACAAAAATCGATAATCTCTTGGGTCTATTATCGACTGATTCATCACAAACATTTGGTGATCAATTAGGAAAACTACAGAATGAATATGAACAAAGTAGTGTTGAATCAGTTATAACGAGCTTAATTAATAAACAAACGAACAATTCGCCTCCAAATGAATCATAAAAGACTCTGACTATAATACGAGTTACCGTTTAGTGTGTATATAAATTTGTTTCTTATTCTTAAAATAAAACATACATGATTATTATTATTGTTTTGTCATGTTCTTCTACTTAATAGTAAGAACAAGTGGCACGATTACCACGATTCATCTTAATAAACTTTCTTATGTAGCACTTCATAATCCTGTTACTTTCGATACAGAACATCAGCGCAACTTTAAGGAAAATATGTAAATTTCGAACAGATAGAATTAAGAACGTGACTGATGAGTAAAAGACTTCAAATGTTGAATCCTTACTATTAAAGTGATACTTTAACGAAAATTAATGTTATGAAATTGTTACTTAGAATATTTTATTTCACTTCGATACCTGATATTGCCAGCATGAGTGTAAATAAGAACGTTGACGTGCGCATTTGTGACTATATCAGTTAGGATTTAAGTTGATTTGGATGTGTAGCTCATCAATTCAACCAACGTAGGAAATATTGCTCATATTTTTGCAATCACTCACACACACATTTATCGCACCCTTAAAGGTGTAAGGATGGGTATAGGTATTCATAGCCTTTATATTAGATTTGCATTCAACCTCTCCCCCTCATCTTTGTTCCGTAGATCTTTAGATTAGTGTCTTATAAAATACTTTAAAAATGAATCATTAGCGAATCAGAATCGATAATCATCTTAATAATGTTTTAGCAGAAACATAATTAAACGAAAAAGTTAACTAATTTGTAAGGGTTTACCTCCTAGAGACATTGAGATGGAAACTAAAAGTTGTAGAACTCAACAAAGTACCGTGCTCTTAATTGTTTTCAAGCCAGTGTATATGCGATCTTAATGCCAGAATCTATTCTTTTACATATATACAGATTTCAGCAAAAGAAAATGGCGAATACATGGTAAACACCAGTTTCTATTGGAAATCATCAGAAAAATATTGGAAATATCCACATCGTCACTATCATAAATGAAAATGTTTTTTTCACACCTTTAGACAATACTTCCAACATTTTCAGTCCTATATATATTATACAAAGATGTTCTTGGTACTGAAGTCCTATTATAGGGGGTATCACTGCTCGCTCACCTCAAATGAGCAGATTAAGTTTAGATAACTGATGCTGAAACGAAGCTGTCATCTACCTACGCATGACAGTGAATGGTTAATTTTGGTTGATTCGACAAGCAGATTTTAACGGAAAGTTATGGAAAGAATCGGAGTGCATCAGAAAGAAATCAACCGCAGTAGACTGCCGCATATAATCGGATTTTGAACCCGTCCACCATGATTTGAGTTTTATTCTTTCCGAGAAAAAAAATTTGTCGGACTGGCACACATTGTTTATGAATGAGTTGGTTCTTCTTCATGAAACGATTCACGAGTTGAAAACAAAACAAAAAGAAATCGAAGGTCACTATCTGCACAATATCTCACTGGTACCACTGTTTCTTGTCAACATCAACCTAGAAGCGCAAGAATTTCTTGTAGGTTGGACCTATCAACCGGATCGATCAGAACGGAACAATACTTTTTCATCTTATCATGTCATTTTAAAGAAATGTGATCAGGAGTTTTATCCATACTCTGATTACGGTAAGAAATCTGATTGATGCTAATTCTGTTCGACTCAATATCTATTCAGGTTTTTTCTATTTGATGAATGGCAACATAATGCATTTTCGTAGCAACACAAGTCTCAAAGGTCCAAATCCATTTCGCATTTACTGAATATTTACATAGCCAGAATTTTACCCCACCGGTTGAAATTCGTCTGTGATTTTCTTCTATTAACATTACATCAGGGCTCCAGCAAACAATCCATCGCGCTCATCAAATCAATCAAGAATGGATCATTAATTCAGACACCGTCGATCATTTTCTCAACCGATTTACACACATCTGAAAACTCGCTCAATGATTATAATAAATTGTGAACAACCTGCAAACATTCCTATGTCAATAATTTCTACACTAAATTTCAAGAATAAGCTTAATACAAAATTCGTCCGGAAATCAAGACATTTATAGATATTTTTTTCAAAAACACAAGTTTTCAAAAAATTTTATTATCTTTTTTAATAAAAAGTCAACATTATTTATGTTTTTTTGTTCCCATTAAACGAGGGAAACACCTTTTTGGATGATTATTTCTTGTGATAGAAAACAATTTTCAGATCATGAATTCATTGTTTTTTTTTAAAACAACGAATTTTTTTGTTGAATTTTTTCAGCATGTACTATTGAATAGCTCAATTTGTGTGTCCCAATCAAATGCTTTCGAGCGTATAATATCTGATTAGGAGCTAAGAATTAGCTAATCTTTGGTGACGACATGATTTCGGGATAATTTCTACAGGGTCTTGACAAAACTCGATCAATCAGATTTCAACGCGATTGAAGATCTATTTGAGTTTATTTTGTGAAAATCAGAAAAAAGAGAAGAAAAAAGTTGATTGAAATCGATAAACTTCGGTTTGGTTGGATCGTTGTGGTTGTAGTTGTTAGAACATTCAATCCGGCGCATTGAGCGATAGAAAAATCATCAAGAGCGACAATCACTGGGAGTCGCCGTTGATCCGTCACGTGAATGGAGAGAATTTTTGTTTCTGAAAAGCTATGTAGCTGATTTGTGGGTGTGGGTACGGTGAAGAGAAAATCCACACCTACACCCACACCCACCCACTAGTAGTAGCTCACTTAGTGTCACAATAACTCTTATCATTTCAAATCATCGAGACTTCATTCTTCATTCACTCGTATTTACACTTTGTGTGATACCATATTTTATATTAAATCATATTATGACTTGTTCAAAAGCAGATACTTAAATTGTTGGGAAATCGATAACCATTTACATGCTACTCTCAGATTCGGCTTTTGCAATGACATTTTTTACTAATGTTAGTTCATCAAAATTTTATTTGCAAGAATTTTGGAATACATCGTATGTTGACCGATTCTTACTTCGTATACGAGACAGGTCACGTACTGGTATCTACAGAATATTATCTGTATTTTCAATATCATTGAATATTCCTGATACAATTCTCCAGATCACGTAACTAAAAAGATAAACATTGTGTCCTATCACTTATTGAACAGTTATTATTGTAGTTTTTCGAAAATGCATCATCTCTCAAAGCTTAGTTTACATTCTAATTATGAAGAAGGGTGCGAAGGAAGTAGTCAAAGATACCCACACTCACACCCTTCTACACAGCATAGGCTGGATGAAAATCGATGCACTTTTTCATTTCATTTACGAGCCACACCTTGTAAGTCGAAAGCAACAATATAGAAATTCTGCTGAAACAAGGTCTTCAGACCGGGTGTTGATTTAGACACAATAGAAGAAACAAATAGCTAAACTCACACCCACCCACAACGTATACTTGTCTTTTACTTTAGTCGCATATTAATCATCTTAGGGTGTATTTAGTTTATTCACTTGAATTTTGGTCAACGTCAGGCTTTAAAACACAACGATAATAAACAGATCCTTTTGATGGTATTTTTTTAGGGTCTTTGTAAATGTATGTGCTGTTGTCAGCGATGAACTCGTGTTTAACATCGAAAAATGAATTAATGAAATTGTTAGCATCTCCTTCTATGGGAGTAAACTTGTAGGAAGCATAACGAAGAAGAACATATGTATTTCCTATCGTCAAATTGCTCACTGTAACAATGCCATCCATCTCTCTTGACTTTTCATTAATTACGGGATCTGGTTCATCTCTTGCTGATACTGCTAGATGAACAAGAAGTGTTACACGATCTTTATCTCTCACTCCTGTTATTGCAATACCATAATCAGTCTAAATAATTTAGAAAATAGTTAATGTTGAAGATTATAGATAAAAGAAAAGTGAGATCTATCAGATTGTGGCACACATCCATCAGTTTGATCACCGAAAACTCTTGCAATGATAGATACACACGTAGACTCTCTATATCTAAAATAGATTGATCCTTACAATTAACGGTATACGTTCACCACGAATATTGATTGTTGACATATCTGCCCTAGTCGAAGCCATGGTTTCTTCACTTAAACATCTTTCAAATGCTCTTGGTGAGTAAAGATCATAAAAAGTTAGTTTATCATCTGGATCATATACATCGGAATATCTGTATCGAATACCAACAGCTGGTATGATATGATCATAATCGTCACAATCATCATCTGGAAGGAAGATTCCAAACATGACTGGATGTTTTCGTACAAGAGATAGTTTCATCCAACGGCAAAATTCTCGATATTGTGCTGGAGGTGAATTCTTCCAATCCCATTCATCGTATTCGAAACGAAGTAAACTAATAGTACGAAGTGGATCACGTTTATCATTGGGTGACATTCGTTGTAAAAGAAATTCACCTTTATTAAGATCACGAATGAGACCTTGAGAAATCCAAGCACCATAGTAAAGTCCTAAATATTTTTAGTAAACTGTAAACCTTCAAAAGTTTTCATACTCTAAAAATTTTACATAGTTCTGAAACTTTGAATAACGAAAATTTCACTCTACTTTTTATGTGTATATGAGGAAAACTATCATGGTAAACAATGAGAACTTACCAATACATTGAAGAGATACTTCACCACAGTAACCATTTCCATGATCCCATTGGAATCGAGGTGATATATCAAGTAGAACTGTGTGTTGAGGAGATTCTTCGTCTTTCTTGGATTGTTGTACACATTTTTTGTTTCTTATCGACATTGTTGGAGTCGAGTGATAGGATCAATAACTGAAATAGAGAAAGTTTCAATTCAATTTCGACCTAAGAAATATTGTTAAATTTATAAATTTCTGACATATTTCTACATGATATATATGAAATGAATACTTAATCGTGAATGACAATTCAAAATGAAGACCTAAGAATGTTTTGAGCTGACTACGCTGAATTTTATCTACCAAGATTCTCATTTTCGTTTCCTTCTCTAAATGGTCTGTAGAAAGTGGTCACAATGCTTATAAATGCATTCAATCTCAATATTTTTTTGTTCCCTGTGTAAAAATAACGCGAAAACCTAAAGCAACACACGCAAACATTTTGTGTTGACACATGACAGTATGAGTAATAAATCATGATTACACATAAAGGTAGACAAAATTCATAGTTTAGTGTTGCAAGTACTTTTTTATCGCATTATAATGTGTCATACACTTTCAACATCATGGGGAAAAATTACGAAAGAGTCACTTGACTCTGCTATTCAATCTAGTAAAATGTGCTCGTATTTCATGTTTTTGCAAGCATCTTGATTATTCTTTTTAACCACATACATAGATCGATCAACGTAAAGAAATTAGTATGTGCATCTAGATTTTTAAAAAAGTAGGTCTATCAAAATGAGTTATCTCATAAGAAATAATATTTTGGATTTTTATTTCGTCTTCAAATGATACAGAAGCGATCAAAAAAGTCTTGTTGTTCTTCACTTTCTACACAACATAAACAGAACGATAAACGATGCACTTTTTCATTTCATTTATAACACATTTCATGTTAGCTAAGATGGACATTGTAGAAATGCTGTTGACATAAGGTCTTCATATTGGGTGTGAATTGGAAAAAAGAGATCAACATTTATACTCAAACATATATATATAGCCTTGAAATGTTGTTTTTGGATTATCTAAGGTATGCTTTGTTTTTTCACTTGACTTATCATTTACTTTATCTTCTTTTCAAAAATGTATTCTATCGCTAAATCATTATACTAAACGATAGTAAGAATTAATAGAAAGAATGAATGAAGAGTAATATGGCAAAGAAACAACAAAGTTTCTATATAATAGAATTCACTTTTTTTTACAATTCAAAGTGTTGAATTCGTTAAAAATTCGATGGTAACCAGGCATGAAATATTAATTAATACTTCTGTTTTATCATATTTTATGTTGAAATCAACAAATACTCAATCTCTATGAACATGAGATAATCTTCATTACACAATAATATTAATATTCATTTCCCAGTGAAAATACTCATCAAGCAAGTACTCAAAGTACTCGTGTGAATACTCGAGCATTTTAATGTGTATGCATACTATTCGTGTACTCTGATGAGGACTCATACAAGTTTTTAGTTAAACCTTTATACATAGATAGATGCATGAGTATTCAATTTAGTACTCCTAGTAGTTTATCGCAGAATATTTAACAAGACACTTATGTACTAGTATATACAAAAATAAAATGAAATTATCTAATTAAAGAAAATGATGTTATTAACTAACGAACGGTAAAAAAAGATGCTTTAATAGTTAATCGTTTTGATTCTCAACCTTTTGACGACTCGTTTATACGGCTAAAATGATTGGTGAATTTCAGACGGAAAGGTGGGTGTGTGAGTGTGGATGTGAGTATGGGTGTGAGGTGTTCGTGTGTTGGTGTGTGTGTGGGCATAAATGAAACGAGTTCTAACGCCCATCCCCACACCTAATACTCACACCCGCACTCTATGATCTTAATCAGCTTAAAATACTTTACTGAAAAATATTCTCAACTAAACTCGATAATAGTTTGTCAGTAAGTTCAACGTATGCTTCCTTTCTTTCGAATATATTTGAACAACTAGAACATTCTTGCAAATATCTAACATTAGCAAAATAAGATCTTGAAGACTTGGTCTCAACGATCTTTCCATTGTTTGCTCGAATTTGACTGTTGATTATCAACAAATTTATTTGAATTTTTGTGAATAAGTGAATATCTTTAATGGAGAGAAAAGCTGAAAAAGTAGCTTATTTAATTAAGTATTAGCTCATCACCCAAATATTGTGCTCCTCTATTCTTAATTTGATTATGATTTAAATAGAATACAGATAGTTTCTATCGTTAAAATTAAAAGTGATTAGTAGAGCTGTAAGATAATATTGCCTAACGCCTTACGTATGTAATAACGCACAATCTATCACTATGAAATGTTATTAAATTGTTTCTTGGATGTTGAAAAACGAGTAGAATCTTTAGGTATATTGTCGATCGAGAGAATTTGAATTCTTATAAGTATTCGTTTATATGCTCATTTGCTTTAATAAGTGATGGGTTTTTTTACTTTAGATGATCTCAAAAAAAATATTTTCATCATAAAATAAACAATAACAATTGAAAAACTTAGTAATATTTCTTAGTAGGATGTGATTGACTATGTTATTTCTATGTCCAAAAATTGCTTTAAGATTTATCTGATCAGTTAGAAAAGATATAAATCAACTTGAAAAATGAATATGATTAATTCTCGGTAATATTCTATTTCAAAACTTCTATTCCCTAGTCAACTCTCACTCGCAAAATCACCGGTGACTCCCCTAAAAAATGCGAACTCCCTGGTGAATCCCCAGAGAATCACCTTTATTTTCCCCAGTGAATCCCGAAAGATAAGAACTCCTCAGGGAGTCCCTCGGGAGTCACCTTGGGAATTTTTAAGGGAATCCCTAGGTTTTAGGCAGTGAGAGAAAATTAAAAACTCCCTAGGGAGTCCCTCCACGGAGACTGCTCAGGAAGTTATTTTTCTATTGATTTTTTTTCTATAAAGTGAATAAAAATTTTAAGTTTACACCAAAGTGCATCTGCTCAAATGTACCTAAATAGTTGGTTTTAGAAACATCCGACTAGTACAAAAAAAGAAGAAGTAGATATAGAGATAGATAGATAAGTAGGACGGTAGATAAATAGATAGGTAAGTAGGTAGATGGGTAGATAGGTAATTAGATAGATAGGTAGATAAACATATTGGTAGGCCGTCAAATAGATAGACAGATAGGTAGATAGATAGGTACCTAGACAGACAGATAGATAGATGGATATATCCATCTACTTATCTACCTACCTCCCTACGTATCGATCGATCGATAGATACATCGATAAGTAGGGAGGTAGATGGATAGATAGTTAGATAGATACCTAGGTAGGTAAGTAGATAGATAGACAGATAGTTAGGTAGATAGATAGATAGTTAGGTAGGTAAATAGATGGTCAGATAGATAGTTAGGTAGGCAGATACATAGGCAGATGGGCAGATAGATTGGTAGATAGATACTTAGGTAGGTAGATAGATGGATAGTTAGGTAGATAGATAGTTAGTTAGGTAGATAGATAGATAGTTAGGTAGATAGATAGATAGGTAGGTAGGTAGATAGATGGGTAGTTAGGTAGATAGATAGTTAGGTAGGTAGATAGATAGATAGTTAGGTAGACAGGTAGATAGTTACGCAGATAGATAGACAGGTAGATAGTCACGTAGATAAAAGGACTCATTTTGATTACGAAGCCACTCCCTTGTCAATCCCTAGGGACTCCCTGTAAACTCCCTACAAAGTCCTTAGTGACTTTCCGTAACTCCCTCTCAAATCCTTGGGGACTCCCTTCACTCCCTCGTAAATCCCCAGGGAATCCCTGTCGTGATTCCCCGGTGGAGTTTTCGTGGGGACTCCCTGGGGATTCGCTAGGGGAGAGTTGACTAGGGATTGTCATTTCTAAAAATTTTAATAAATCAGACAATTATCAAAACTTAAATGTTAAGATAATGATAAAAATATGTCTTAAGTTACATATACTATCCGAACAAGCTATTTACTCTATGTAAATAATTTACTAGCGTTTTTCTGGTTTATAATTATACATTGCGCGATCACTAATATCAGGAATCGAACATCTTAGCTGCCAATATCAAGAATATCATGTTTGTTCGTTATCTATAAGTTCATTTCTTTGTTATCAATGGAAGAATTAAGATATTTGTACTTGCCGAATTTTAACAAAGTGAACATCGGCATTAGCTTTTCTACTTTTACTCAATGAGGTCGAATTTCTTTTTTCAACGATGTTTTTTTCGGAAATGGAATAATATTTGCTTGATTATCCTTTCTTTCATTCAAGTTTGAAGAATTATTTCAACATCTAAACATTCATTTATAGTTTACAAGACAAATACATCATCTTTTTCAACAACAATTTCTCTGACTCAACATATACGAACAAAAGAAAAAGGCTTATAAGACAATAATTATACAGAAATAAAACGATTGTTTCTGTACTTGATTTTACAATGATCACATTGACCATGTCGAATTTCTTCAAGAACTGTAACTACTGATAGCTCTAAAGAAATGAGTTTCTCATTAAATTCTTCTGTTGTTTATGATATGTCTTCTCTAATGAATAAAATTGAAAGAAAAAAATACTCAATATTGAATGAAAATATTTTCTGTCAATATCAGAAGCTCAATGTTTAAATGTATTGCAGAAGATTTTCTACTCAAACTAAATTCAATGTCAGTCGAAAAATGTATGAGAAACTTCATTATTAAACCATCGTGAAATCATTCTGCTATTATAATCTCTGATAAAGTTTATTTCATTCTGAATGATTTATTTTATAGCTTTGGCAGACATCAAACCATACTCCATGAGAGACCACAAACATCCCTACGTTCGACTCATAATCGTCTATTTATATTTGTTCCAAACAAATAATAATTAAGACTTCAGTTCTCAAGTTTAATAAAGTTGTAAAGCCTCTTAAAATTCGATATTTCCATCTAAAAATCAAGGTCCATTAATAATTATACATCACAAAAGCATTATCATAGGTATACTAAGGACCTAATGCATATATACAGTGATTCAGAAGTAGATACGAGGGTGGGTGTGGATGTATGAATATGGATGTCGATATTCTTATATTTATCCCAAACCAAACTCCCACT